GCAGAAGCTGAGTTTCGAGGCTCGAAATTGTGCTAACCCTAAAGTAAGGTTGGAACTTGGTTGAGAAAGGGCACGAAAACGCAGAGATTTTCTAAGCGTCAAACAAAATACCTAGCGAAAGAGCTTATTTTATCTCATAGCTTTGGTAGAAGCTAATTAGAGCGCGTTAAACCACAGAAGAACGAAAGTTTCTGGAGCGCAATCACTCCAAAAGCATTTAGAGCAATCCGAAAAAAGTAAAGATCCTTTTTTGAACTGCACTAGTTTTAGTGTGTAGCAGATATGTCAGACTTTGTTACTGTAACTGTACAAAAAATTTGGACTTAAATGGTTGCAATCTTGAATGAAAAATGGACCTTTGTTTGAGGTGTTCGTATAATTATGAACCGCTAAAAATTCGCATTAGGCGCAAAAACACTCCTAAGATTGACATCATTTCTCATTATTATGGATCATATACCGTTTTCGGCTGTGTTCTATCGCGTGGTACCAACGGCTTTTTGAGTTTCTCCCAAAAAGTCCAAAAACTTACAAAATTTTGGGTGTTCGTATAATTATGAACCGCACTTTATTAGGTGTCCCATAAGTCTTTTCATTTCTAAATTTTCGCTATAATAAGTCACACACTTCTTCATCTAATTAGACATTAGGATATCATTCGAAAGAGCAAAGCAAGGTCTATAAGATGGCGTTTATGCTTTTGTACAAACTTTGATCCATCTCGAGTATTCAACCAAAATCTAAAAAGTTTCGAATGCTCAGAAAACCGAAAACTTTTCATATTTTCGTTCAGAGAAATCCTACAGACCTCTAACTCGCTCACGCGTTTACATTCCACATCAGACATTCATATGTGCTGTTGCTGTATTTTTCTATCAGCTAGAAATCAAGAAACCGAAAATTTCCATGTTTTTACCAAAGTGATGCTGTGCTGTTCTTACACTAACAGACTTGTACAGTCTGCCCCAATCGGGATCAGGCCGAACCGTCGGCTGAATTTGCGCGCTCGCGGCGCTAGGAGTTTGCGCTGCATACGCGCGCTGTCGCAGATAGCGAAGAGATTGAGGAGAGAGCAGACAGCTAGACGCAGAAGTGGCGCGAAATCCTCGAGACGCGCACTCCCGCCAAGTCAATTTTGGCCTGGTTAGGATTGGGGCAGACTGTATACTAGAAGCCCTTAGAAGTACTAACGCATATTTTTGGCTCTCTATATGCTCTAGTTTCCAAGAAATATCAAATTTAGCTTTCTTCACTCGGGTTTTTCACGCTTAAATCAACATATCTCAGAAACTTGAGCATATAGTGCCAAAAATCTACGGTAGTACTTATAAGGGCTTCTAGTATACAACTGTTAGTGTAAGAACAGCACAGCATCACTTTGGTAAAAACATGGGAATTTTCGGTTTCTGGATTTCTGGCTGATAAATAATTACAGCAACAGCACCAGGACCCGGCACCGATGGTTTGGGGTCAAACTGGACTTCGTTTTCGGAGTTAGAAGCAACGGGGACATCGTTTTTATGAGGTCCTGGAGGAAGCGCCAAAAAAACACGACGAACATGTCAGGTTTCACGAGTTGAACGTGTTCTTTCGCAAGCGCGCGAATTTCAAATGCAAGACTCAAACAAACAAGTGGCTTGTTTACAGCGCACAAACAATCACATGGCTTTGAATTTGGGCTTTGAGTATACAATATTACTCCAAACTATGTTATGTAAAAAGTTCCCAAAACTTATGTGTCCTAATATCCATTCTCGAATTTGTTGGTTTCTAGACCAACTACCAAACCAACTGAGTTGGTTCGGAGCATAAATATCGGAGAGTTCACATAAGTTTGGGACCTTTTTGATTTGGACGATTAGAACGGTCAAAAATCTATCATATAGTGAAGAGAGCGGATCAAACCGTTGCCTCTACCCTTTTTTTGAGTCAAGAGTAGTATAATTCTACGCGTTGGTAGATATCGCGCTCCAATCACTTGCGGTGTCCTTTGAAATACGTGGCGAAAAATGCATCGCAGGATTGTTGAGGCTACAGATTTAGTTGGCCTAGGAGATTCTCGACATTCCCAGCATCAAAATGGTACTATACCCAATGGCAGAGCCTTTAATCGACTCGAAATGTTTTCTTTTTGCTTTTTTGTTATATTACAAACCTAAAAATGGGCTTTTTTCGCTTTTTTGTTGCTATTTTGGTTGAATAAGGGTTTCTCTACTGATTTTCACGTCGAGAGGGACTTCGTAAATTTTCGCGAAGTCATGGGGGACTTCGTCTCCTAAAAACCTCCAAACCAACGCGTGCCGGGCCCTGAACAGCACATATGAATGTCTGATGCGGAATGCGTATGCATGAGCAAGTTAGAGGTCTGTAGGATTTTTCTGAACGAAAGTATGAAAAATTTTTGGTTTTCTGGGCATTCGAAACTTTTTAGATTTTGGTTGAAAACTCGAGATGGATCAAAGTTTGTGCAAAAGCATAAGCACTATCATATAGGGATTGCTTTGCCTTATCGAATGGTATCCTGGTGTCTATTTAGAATAAAAAGGTGTGACTTATTATAGCGCTCAGAAATGAAAAGACTTATGGGACAACCTAATAAATGGAGTTTATGACCTTCTACGGTATTGAAAATTGTTATTCGAGGTTTTGGTGACCCAGTATTACATTTCTCACACCTGACAGCTGTTAAACTGCTAGTTTCCCAAAGCAACCGATGCAAAAATCGTTTTTGATCTACCGTTGATTGATTGATATAAAAGGAAATACTGTATCGCCTTTCGATGCGACAGAAAACACCGAAAGGAAGGTGAATTTGTACTTCTACTGATTGCCGCTTTTATGTAAAGAAATCGAAACGATCACTAACCACAATTTTGAAAATACACTGATCGATCTCTACCATTCCCAACCACTTGCTATATTACAATACTAATCTATCGCCCTCCAAATGATTTTGGATTCTGATACTGTTCATTTGAACCTGCTTTCGGTTTACTCTCTCGCTTCTGAAGAGATTATTGGTGATTTTAACTTTCCCATAAGTTACCCCCACAGTTTGTACTTCTGTAACCAATTAATCAACTAATCACTCGACAACCGACATTTCCTCGAATCCTTCAGAACCTAAACCCTAGATGAAGATGACGAAACGTGAAAAATTATTCTTGATCTGCGTAGCACATATTCTATTGACAAGTTGTCATTCAAAGCGTCCTTTGGTAATAAATTTGATCATTATTTGATTGTTTCGGTACAAATTCAAAATTCCAAATATAGTACACCTGTCCCATATCCTTGTTTTGACTTCAAAGCAATGAAAGCAGAGTTGAATAATATAAACCGAGAAGACGATTGCTTCGAGCAGAACATGAACCCTTCCGATGTATGCTATAGGTTCTGTAGTATCATCTAAAATCTTATGGCGATTTACACTCCCTTTGAGGTCCGCAAGATTGAATATCTCAAATACACTGGCCATATACAGTCACTTATTCTACAATAAGAAACACTTCTTAGAACATCACGAATAACTCATTATGTAAGAAAATTTGTTCTGATATAAAACACCATCTCAAAATTTCTCGCAAACTACGAAAGACGTTTGTTATTTTTTAAGTACTCTGTGAGTTTCTTCTCTTATGTTAGCCAAAAACTATGAAGCTTTGTAAGATTCGTTAGGTACAGTCCTCTCAACGGGTCAAATAAGGTGGAAGTCCTAGCCAAATTTTGTGCGAACACATATTCTACTAATGGTTTTACTCCAAAACCTTTTACCCTTTGCTTCATCCAAATCGGCAGCTGGAAGGCGGGGCTCCGTGACCTAGTTAAGGCTAGAAAATGATCAGAGAGCATGTTCGCGAGAGAGGCGCAGACTGCGTCGCGGACACGAGCAATCGCCGCCTAGGTCATGAAGCCCCTCCTTCCAGCAGCCGATTTGGTTGAAGCAAAGGGTAACACCTCCCACAACCAATCATTTTCCCATGACCATTCAAGTAGGGGCGGTGAATCTCCAATCTCATGGTTACAAGAGTGCCGCATTCGTCTCAAAGTGCTTTTTGTGCAGGTAGAAGAAGTTTAATCGTAAGTGCACCCATGTTCTTGCTTAACACATTGACGACCATGCAGATTTTTAGTTGTCTCCCTTCTGAGACCAAGGCCTTTTACGGACCAGCCGGCATTTTTCAACTATAATTACGCATACTACCATCTACAGTACACCTACAGTAGATTTGAAAGGCTGAAAATAACGGTAGAGGTCATCCCTAGACTCAGTGCGGAAGAAATCTCGTGGAGTGTGTTTATCAAAGTATAGTAGTTATTTTTAACAAAATTCAAGCCTTGACACACATGGTGTGTCAAGCGGTCCCACGCGGTAGTCATTGCTTGACACACCATGTGTGTCAAGCGGTCGTCAATGTGTTAACGAAATGGGAGTCTCGTGAGACCGCCGTCAGCCAGTCAGGAATAATGAAGAATATCGGACTGAGGACTGAAAAGGATATAGTGTTGCACAATAGCCATCACTAGTGCTTATAATACTTGCTTAACGAGAAGAGACTGCAGCAAAAGAAGCGAAAAAGCAAGAAGAAATGGTTTACTTTTGGGACGAAGTGATATAAAAAAAAATTAGCAAGCAAAGTGTATTCAACAAGACAAGGGCTGTCGTAGTTCAATGACAGTTTAATGATTTTCTTATGGTATGAAATTCAGACACCATGTGAAATTTCGTGCGCTTCAGCATATCCACACCCTGAAAAGCTATGCTCATTTTCATAGCCGGTCTCTTGACCCCTAATGTTTGCTTGACATTTATAGCTGTTTGCCGAACCTCTCATCTTCTTGCCAACAGCGGCTTGTCACTTGGACCTGTTAGTGCATATATTGATGACGAATGAACGGACAAATGAATCAACTTCTATCCAAGCCACATTGTCATACATGAAGCTATGAGACAGATTTATCGAGAATAAGTTATAGAAGATAGTTGAGCCTACAAAAATACACAAATTCGAGTGAGATCTACCAGATCCGACTCTTATTTCGAGAAAGGCTAAATACGATCAACGCAATTCATGATATGCTTAAACATGAGTCTATTTACAGTATGGCGGTGAGGTTATGCACCCCCTGAGGCTTGAGAGACAACACCTGCGATGGAACTCGTAAAATGCACAAGGAGCTCGAAGATGTTAGTAGTTAGACATCGGTTGGACTGTGTCGAGGCGGCTGATCGAGTGGAGGAGGTGGTGTGTTTTTCTCGCCAATTTTCATCGTGCCATGATCCATGTAGTCTTCAAGCATCGGGGCAGAGCTTAGAGCCGGATAGTAGGCCTTAAACTATCACTTGGAGTAATTCATATAATTTTATTATACCGTATGCTCGTCATACCCGGGCTGGATCACGAGGATAATTGCTAAGATGTGGCGGTCGCGAATATTTCTCAATAGGTGAAATAGGCTGCTTCTTCGTTGAAGTGTTCGAAAAGTTCTGAATAGCGTAAATGGTCTGAGCTTGCAAGCACAAAAACAATGCTATGAGGTCAAATCATCCGCGTCAAATCTTAAATTTTCGCAACTATAAGTGAAACTCGTAGCTTTGAAAGGAGATCCGTCATGCGCAGGTCAATGTAAGTAGATTCAGAAGTGCATCACGTCCGAATCTTCACTACATTTACTATGTAAAATTCATTACATGTAGGTCACAGTCTCCATGCCCTGCTTTAAAAATCGCATAGTATCCTATAGCTACGCCGAGAAACTTATTATCATAAATGCATTCTCCATTTCTAATCTATAAATCCGTTCTATGTATGCCCGAAAAGTTAATTGTCTTAGCAGTGCAAATTTTCAGAACTCTCTGTGAAAAAACTGTTTGTTTTGAGGCGATTTTAACATTACAACATCTAATTCTAGTTTTAAATTATTGAAGGCAGCGGTGAACCGAGGAACAGAGAGGAACAAGGGAAAAAACTCGAAGGGCCTCAAGGATTGACCACGAATTCTCTGGAGTTGTTAAATGTTCCACGAAATAATGCAAATAAATTGTCTTTGCTCAAAAATAATCATGATTTGAAATTTTGCCCCAAAAAATTCAGAAGCAATCTAGAATCTTTTCCAAGTGCATGGTTGATTCTCTCGCGCCCCTCTCTCCGTGAAAAAACGAACAAGCTTTTTTATTCAAGTTCGTGACAGGTGTGGGGGCAAAGTGATCAACTGATTTCAACTTACATCACTCTCAGCATACATGGTGAACAGTCTATTGACGAGATCGAAAGCTATACGCCCACCAACGTGCTCACGAACGAACTGTAGCAACAATACTCCATCTGGGTGAAGACATTCGTGAATAAATCGCCTCATTTCTCCTTGGGACAATCCGCGCTGAAAAAGAATACTCCATAAAATTTCTCATTTCGCTGAAGTCGGTTGACGATAGCTTACGTTGCGCTTAGTGTCGATGTTGAAGAGGACGAGCTTAGCTCTAAGTGTTGGTACAAGCATGACACAGAAGAAGTAGAAAAAGTTAATAATAGTTACTACACCTAAGAAAAGGAACCTGAAAAGGATTTTTTGTGTTTTATATGTGTGCTAATGTACATGGACTTACCAAAAGTACAAGAACAGATACAACTTCTCATTGATCATGTTCATCATTATAACACACTGAACTGTGTGTCTTTGAAGATTTGCGAGTCTTCGAATCTGGAAAATTATTGCTTAGCGCAATTTCTACTGCTCATCTTACACCATTTTTTTAATTTGGTTATAGTTATCGTTTGTGAAAAAGTTTTTTTTTGAGTTTTAGAAAAGTAGTTAGTGTATTTAGAACCACCGTGGTTATTTTGAAAAAGGAAACAAAACAGAATCCTGATCGCCGTCCATCTCATGAATGGGTATTAGATGTTTGATATTCCTTAGCAAGATCACTAATCAAAATGTTCTTGGATTGAATGAAAACTCAAACTGTCACAGTATTCTCGAATTTTCCTAGATATATTTGATAAGTTGGGAGTGAGGGCAGGAGAAAGGCACGGAAAATAGCCCAAAAGGGCATCTTATGCTTGCAGGCTTTTTTTAGCAGATGAGGTCTAAAGGAGTTCCAACCTTCCCCCCTCCCCTACATACGAAAGGTATCGGAGAGCTCGACCTTGTAACTGACCTTCTGGTAAAAATCTTTTCATGTAGGCACTTTCTGAAGCAGTTTTTTGAAGTCAATTTACTGTTATTCAGGACCATACACCGATTTAGTGGACCCCGAAGTCCAACAAATCTGATAAAATCTAACAAACTCTTTTGAAAAAATGTAAATTCACCTGGAAGTCACACATGATAACGCGAGGAAAGACGGAAGTCTCTTTCCATTCGTTTCCGTGGATTATATTCGTTGCCGTCTGCAACTTTTGGCTGTTTTGATATTGTGGATATGGAAACATTCGAAACTGACCTCGTAACCCCATCGCATAAAATCGCCTCCTATGAAGTGATTGAGAATGACCAGCTGCAGACAGATATTGGCGACATACGCGGCCTTGGTGAATAGATATAGCCACATCGCATTGTAGCCAGAGCGTGGAGCTGTGCGTTTCTGGAAATTTTTAGAGTGGAATTGATACCTTTTGAATTATACGTCACAAATTAGGTTGGTAAAAAAATTCTCGGACACTGTATTTAGACACAGATTTTGCCTCGATGCGAGCATTAAATAGGGCATGTAGCACATCATTAGGGAGAGGAAAGCAAGCTCTACAACATAATACTAATGAGCATAATCAATGGGTCCTGTCAAAATAGAGGCGAAAATTCGAAGACATTGGTTTTTGACAGGGCTCAGATCTCCACCTTCCGTTCACGCTGTGACGCCCATAAATACTCCGATTTATAGTGGACAAAAACTCACATACATACGTGCGGAGTTCATATGGAAATTAGGTTCAAAAAAGTGGCAAACCCCTCCCTCCCCCCCCCCCCCGCTTGATCCCAAGCACGAAAGTACAACAACAAATTTTCGCATTCGTAGATGCATTACGATCTAAGAATTAGCAATTTTAGCCTAAAATGTCCGAAATCTTTCTTACCAACCTAAAAGTCAGAGTTTACGTAAAAAATTAGGCCACAAAAATCGGTTGAAAAATTTTAGTGGAAGCTCTTTGGCTCTGCGATTTACGCTATCCTTTAGAATTAGGTTGTCAGATTTGCACGATATACACAGATTAATTTCTTGTCAAATTATATCACAACGTAACTTTATAAAATTAGGGATCTTCGAAGAACCTACAACACTATGGTCTTGAGACCCCATAATCCATGAGTCCTTGGCTAATCTAACGATAAGATGTAGAACTACAAAAGCTTCTTGTTTTTGATGTGTGCCTCATAAAGACTTGCTGGAACTGATTCGATATTTTAAGATGTCCATCATTCATTCTAAAATTAAAGTGAGATCGAACTTAGGCATTGCCCACAGTCTACCTCGAGGAGATCGTAAATGAGAAAACTGACTATTGTCCGAGCAAATGCTATAGATCTTCTGAGAAAAATCCACTTCTGAAGGTTTACAACAGGATGTCAAAGAATCTAACATGGTCAGATCTGAACAGACAATGCAGGCGTTGATCATTCGGAACCCTGGTAGGAAGTTTTGCTTCCAAACTCGGTTCTTAGGAGAACAAAGGCTGACAAATTCAGCACACACTGTACTTTTCCTTGGTTGCTCTGCAAGATTCGATATCCTTCCAAAATTTGTTGAAAAACGAAAAAGGATTTTATGACGCCTTTCGTCTGGCAGCTTTAACTCTTTGAAGAGAAATTTGCTGCTAACTCATCATAATGTTGATATCTTAGAAAACTAGACAAGATATAGTCAAAAGTAACTTAAAATGCTGATACTTCTGAATTTTTGATTTTGTCGAAAAAAATAAAAGCTTCAGACAAACGTTCTTTACCAGAATTTTGTTCAAAACTTCGCTATACCGTTCTCTATTTGGACGCTGTTATACGCTGTTCGGTACAGCATTGATACTATCTGATCCTAGACAAGAACTACTTGAGACATCAAAGCGGCGCCTACTTGAGCTAGATATCAATGTTGTAAGTAAATACGCAGCAGGTGCATGGGAACTCCACCCCTGCGCCGCTGCAACGCTTGTCAAAAGGTTCCGAACGGTACTCGACGACGATAAAATCAACATACGCTCATCTTGTAGTCGCCTGGGTAGCTGAATACTGCTACAGTATCCATGAAGTAGTTAGCGAGTGATTTGATCTCTTGTTCTCGCTTTTCCCCAACTGCGAACCGAACCTTCTCGGCTTCGGTAAGAAAAGCTCTTGGATTGATGGCTGAAATTGATTACGATAATCCGGACACACCAAAAGTTTGGCGATCCTTACCGGTTTGCTTATGGAGCATGTTCCAGATCCAGTTAGGTATAAAGAACATTATGGCCTTGAAAAAAACATACTGTACTCTAATTCGGAATTTTTTTTACATCGATAAAGCGGATACTTACCTGCAGCGCCAACATGATCGGAACCCATCGATAATAGCTGATGTGATCTTGCCTATGTTCAATATCAGTTGGGATTTCTTCCTCAAATGGTACATAGTACGAATTTGCAATGAAGCAATAGTCTTCAGCATATTTTTCCCAGCCACCTGCAACACACAGATGCTGAAATAGATTCTCTAGCTGAACACAGGGGAAAGAAGATGGATTTTCTCATAGAAACTTTTGGTAGGAAATACTATTTAACTTTCCGAAAATATTGATGTGTATTGAATTTCATAACGAGCAATCATGTTGGTCTTATCGTTAGAAGGAAAAATTTTGCAAAAAAGATAGTTGCGGTGGAGGATGCGACCAAAAAAAGGAAGACTTTAGGAGAGAACGACAAGAGCGCTTAAAAAATTTGTAAGAAATTCACAGCGGACTACACCACTTATTATACACGAGGCTATGATTGAAGCGTTCCGAATATTAGAAGCAATGCTCATGACTTTTAGTTCTAATCCTTTTTATTTTTCAGGGAGAATGTGCCTGAACTGTATTTTCAAATTCGTATTTATGAGATGAGAATTATTTGGAAGGACCTAAGCTGTTTTGAAAAGACTTCGTAAAACGGGGTAAAAAAAAGTAAAACTCTCAGTTCTCAAATGCATTTGGCTACAGACATTCTGAATCTCAAAGAATTTCCAATGCGATTTCAGCAAAACTGTTATTCTGCTAAAGTTATAAATCCACTACGGTTAGTTGGTTATGGTATTACTTTTTCCTTCTAATAAACAGAGTTGCCAATCAATTACGAGACTACCCTAGCGGCATCTTTTGAACTTAGCGGTGACGCGAAAGGATGAACAGGTGGTGCAAGCCAATGACATTGAAACATCATCACCAGGCGTTTACAGTAACTGCGAAGAATATAAGAGCAGTGCAAAAAATTATAATCTCGCTTAAACGATTGTTGATCATAAATTTTATCACTTAGCGCTATGATCATGCATTTTTTATAAAAATCTGTTTATATACATCATCAATCCCAACAATAAAGGTCCGCTATCCTTCATGCACTATTGCATAGAATCAACGAAGCGTAGAAGAGTGTGCGTAGCATGAGCCGTAAGATAAACTGAGCGAGGGTAACGAATACGCTACGTCACAAATTCAAATAAATGAAAGCTAAAAGGATTGTGAGTACAGCGATGGCTTAGCACTTGGAAGAAAATTCAAGGCATACAATGATGGAAAGTAAATTCGAATTTGAGTATTTTTAACAATTTCTTACGACTGGGGAGGAGTCCAGATGAGTAAGAGAATGCGAAATTTAAAAAAAAAGACAGCACTGTTTTTGAACTAGCTACTCAGGATATTATTCCCTTAATGACATAAGAACATAATAAGTAGCTCAACCAAAATTTGAGTCATATTGATAAGGCAGAACGTATGTACAATCAAAATTTTTCTCCGCAAAGGTTTTTTTCAAATTTTCATGTTTGCATAATGATTTGATGGTTCTGCAAACCAGTATTATTTCAGATTTCCCTCTTGAGAGCAGAGAAAAGCAAAAAGATGTTTACATAGGCTAGCTGAAATATTGGAACGTTCCGAAACTTGCTGTCGATTTTCGCATTGAAATAACGCGTGGAATAGAAATGGACAAATGACCCAAGAACTATTTGACGCAGCTTTTCTTCTTCTTTTCAGATTTCAAGTTATTCGGTTGCTTTCTGTTGTGATCACTAAAATGATCGTCAAAAATGCCATAAAGTGGTTTTTGAGACGCCCATTTCGCTTAGACTGAAGAATTTGATGAAAGGTGGATAGATCAAACATGTGCAATATGTCAAATTTTTTGGAAACCTTCAGTTAGGTTTTCCGAATTTCTAAAAATATCAGAAATCCACACTCTCGCAAAATTCGCGTCATTACAAAGCATCACTATAATTCACTAACTTTATATTCAAATAATTGGTTACCATTTAGCACTAATTTTACAAAGCAAGCGGTTCGAAAAACCAAATTCTGAACTCTCGGCTATAGCCACTGATGGTCCAAAATTCTACAACTATGATAATTTTATTCGTGAAGGTTCCACGAATCGGAAAGAACAGATGCCCATAAAAAAGAGGAAAAAAGCTGCATTGAATCACACTTCTGTTGCTGTCGGTTGATGCTCTTAAGGTTGGACTTGACCAGATACAAATTTGCAAACATCGGAAAGGAAAGATAAATTTGAAAAGCCATTTGAAAATACCAAAAAAAGTTTATGGAGTCGCATCTTGCTTACTCTTTCATCTATTATCAAAACTCTTTCAAAGGAAAAGAAAAATTCTAATTTGCTTATCTCTTAAAAGCCTCTATGTTTCGGCGATTACTTCAGTGACCTTATAAGGAAAATGTACAAAAACAAGACCTCAAAAAGCTGCGTTGTTTAGTCTCTGAAGTAAAGTTTTGTTTGTTTTTTTATCACGTGTTCTTATTCGATCGGATAAACGGCAAGAACTTCAGAACGACTCAATGTAAAGAGCAAGACAAGGAACAGCAAACAGAACAAGAGATGGAAAACAAAGGAACAGAAATAGCTGTCCAGTTGGATCAAACATTGTGCAAATAAAAGAGCACAGAAGTTTTTTCAATAATCAAAGACGATCTGGCTTGACATAAGTTTTGAAAATGATTATTCGTAGAAAGAGGGCCATCAGAATTGATACAAAAGTAACGACAAACCTCTAAATTCACTCGGTACCCAACATTGTATAGGAGATCCAAAATACTGCTTTGCAGATATTGCCAAAGCAAAGAAAGCAAGCATCATTGAGGTCACATAGTAGTTGAGGTAATCAACGGAATCAGCAACCTACAAGAAGTAATTGAATCCTTGGAAAAGCATGTAATCCAATAAAATTCACCTTTTGCCGCTTTATAGTTTTTTGAATGAACCTGCTCAAGAATGGTATATTGAGCATGGTTCAAACGATGGGGTAAGGCACTAAGCTGAAAAAAGATGTATGTAAGCGGTGGAAAGAAAAAGATGAAAAATTTTGAAAGAGAATGACGCGAAAAAAAAAACGATTGACAAAGGGTATAAGATATTAAATCGTTTCAAGCTGAGATTAAGTTTTTAAATGATGTCATATGATTGTGAACAAGGAATAAACGCGATCGATAACGGGAGAAACGGTCAGAAATTTCTAGAAAAAAAAAGTAAGCAAGCACAAATTAGATAAATGAACGCTATTTTTGATATTTTTCGGCGAGGTATACTGCTCTCCCACTGCGTAAAATTTTTTGAGCAAAAAAGATCGAAAGCGGGCTTTTTGCCAAGAACACATCAGAACGACAGAACGCTTAGTGGCAAAGGTCAGCCAGCGTAAGAGGCCCTCACTCTGGCACAGATCGAGATGGGTCATCCAGTCATCGAAGGGGCTGCTCTACGGGGGCCGGAGCAACCATCGCCGGCCCCGACCCAGTTATTCGAATCAATCTATTGACAATACGCAGCTCTACGCTCTCACTCCGAGAAGTGCGATTTGATGGCACAATCATTTGATTAGCGACGAAAGCAATTGCGAAGAAATTGAAATAGTCGCTACGATCCCGGATTGGCCGGAATTGCGCAGAATTCTCGATGGTCTACTTGTGAACTTAGAAGAAGGAAAGTTTCAGAAGGAAGAAAAAAGAAAAATTGCAAAAATTGCAAGAAATACTTGAAATATCCTAGTGAAATACAGCAATATTGGTCATAAAAGCTGCACATCCACATGAAGTAATTCTTCCAACTTTTGCCCGTACGCAAGCAGTAGTGCTCTCTCACACCTCTCAGTCCTCCTTCAACCCTCTATAGTTCAAGAAATGGCTCAAACTCAGCGATGAAAAGCGCTGTAGACCTATAGAGGAGATTTCGTCCAACATTTTACATGCGCAAAACAGTTATCTACTTGAAGAATTTTGTAAAAAGATTAACCAAAGAAAAAAATTAGAAGATCATAAAAAAGACGCAGACAACATGTATAGTCTGTCCAACTGTAGGTCAAATATATCACAGTTTCTGTATTTAGCTATGCGATATTCGAAAATTTGAAAAGAAATACTGGGAGCTCAGTAGGCTTTAATTACTTCCTTTTCAACCTTCTGTATAGGTCATTTTTAAAATCGTGACGAAGGATTTGACTGCGGTCTTTGCGCACACAGGAGCATAAAACACTCATACAAAGAGGCATCACCTCAAAGCTCAACTCAGTCACTTCCAGTGTGTAAGTACTGACATATATGAGCAGAGAATTCAAATAGCGATGAAAACCAAAAAAAATGCGGTTGCCGGAAGACGCGTGCGTGTTGCGCGCACCATTGTCAGATTTTTCGAATGCCCTATAATTCAAGAAGTCACTCAGTCTTAAGCACACCGGTATTTGCGTTAAAAATTCAGCTGGAACTGCTCAAATCCAAACAAAGCTTGGCGAAGTGCTATAAAAGTTACATACTTGAGTTGTTCTAGATGATCAACTATAATATATCTTCAGGCATATAGGATTTAGGATTGAATAATACCAAAAGAATGCGTTTGAAGAGTTTAGGGATTAAGAAGAAAAGTTTAATCTGCAAACTTAATTAAACTCAAACTTAATTCGCATGAGCAGAATCGGGAGTAATGAAGGCAAATTTTGATTGATGGATTTTGATCAAGATAACGCACTAATCCACAAATCACTTCAAAAGATTAGCGCAGTTAGAGGTTATTCAAGGGAACACTATTACTGGCTGTGCTGGCAATGGTTGTTTGGAAAAATGAAAATACAGCCCTTGTCTGAAGCCAGGAGCTTTGGAATCAAAATCATTGCGAGGGAAATCAATCGAGGGAACACCCTCGCGCAGCACGCTACAAATGATTTTACACAGATTGCTGCGTGCACTTTTTCTAGCGCATTCATTCAAATGGGAGCTGTGCAGAAGAATATCATGCACATCGCGGAGTCTTTTCGACAAACATTAGATATTGCATCATGGCTTAGTAAACGGCCGTTTCGAACGTCTTCGCTGTTTCCTGAAAATTCGTAGCTTTTTGTTTACTCAACAATTCAAATCTAGCTTTGCAGTAGCACCCTGATGGCTTTCTACACTGGATTCTAGTTGAAAAAACCATATCACTCGCGCTTCAATTTTTTCAACTGAATTGCAAAGAATAGTTGTAATAGAATCTGAAATCATCAATACTGAAAGTTTCGCCTTCCTTATAGGTCCTATGAGTGAGACAAAATTCTTTTCTTATCCCCTGCGCATAGGTGAGAGAATTTGCGCAGATCGAAAGCTTTCATGAAGATTCATTTGTTGAAAGAATATTAGCAAAAATCAAAACCGCGGTTTTGCATGATTTTCAAATATCATGAGTCCTTGGAAGACCTGCGTATAGTATGAAGTTGTCATCTAGATAGTAGGACCACTTTTAATTTAAGAAAAAGTTTTTTCAATTCTCCTTAATAAGCAGTCAGAATGCTATCGCATTTATAAATTGCTCTTTTTAGCAAATGATATGGGAAGCAAATGTGTTGGGACAAACATTATGAGTTCTTTCAGCCCGAAACCTAAAGACCCGAAATTCGACCCAAAATTTTGAGTTGAGAAGCACACGCGCTCAGATTTTTTTCAAAATATAGCGCTTGCTATTCTTGATTTTTCTTGTATCCCTTGCATGACTTGGAATATGTGTTACAAATTATATGCCATTAGTGATGCTTTAGTCAAATGATCCCGATGATGTCCGTATATTTTGAATATTCGGTAGTGTCTGGTCCAGGGTTCTCTTTCTTTGCCTTCTGTGCATGCTGATCTCTAAGTTGCATAGCTCCGAAAATAGCGATCACACTAAAAGGCGCGATAAAGGGTGGGAATGTCACGACTGAACGTTCAAACAAAAACTGTAGTGTTATGCATGCGTCACATTAGGTTCTCTGCAACAGCCCGAGTGCCACTCTATACATGAGAACCAATAAATTTGTTGGATGGAGGGTAGAGGGGACAGTCTTGTCAATGTGCAGCAACATTCTTATGTCCAAAATCAGTTCCCACAATTTCAACTTAGCTTAAATTTCTATTTTGACTCTCAGAAGTTCGAGATTTCAAGGAATAATTAAGCCTAAAGGGAACAAACACATGCCCGATGCCTCCGAATCACTTGATTGTCCCATGGTCAGCCATCCCAGAAGTTTAGAGCGAGATTGTTTGATAAAGATTTGTTACGGTAATTTGAGATTAGATGAACAGGCTTAGCTTGTCAACTCCGCTATCAAACTCAGAGCTTTCTGTGAGAGAAAGCAAGAGGATTAGTTTAAAACTAAATAACTTAAAATATTAGAAAAAGTTATGGATCATGGAATAGGAGCGCTAAACTTTGCTTGAAGGAATTGCTTGAGAATGGTTGCGTTGCTGGTTTATATTTATGCTGAACAAATGCAAGCTGCATTAGCCGCTTTTGAGAAGCATGCCTTATCAGATCTGCAGGGATAAACACTGTGTTACTGGAATGAAGAGCTAATTCTCCTCTGGTTGTGAGAGAGCATGCTGGAAGTTTTTGAATCAATGAGTATCATGAACTAGAAACAGAAGAAAAATCCTTTCAATTTCTTGACAGGGAAGGATACCAACATAAGTTGGAGAATGAGGACGATATGCGTAGCAATAGACGCATCTTTGAAGGCTGAATCCAAATTCGCTTCCCTTTTTTGCGGAATGAGAGTTTGAGAGTTCAAATTCGTCAAGCGTCAGGTGGCATAAATTTAGTGAAAAGCTCTATAAAAACACATGTGCGGATTTTTACTTTTTTGTTCCTTTCTCGTAGTCAGTATAGTTGATGCAAATTTGATTACCATTTTTAGGTGTTTTTGTAGAGCTTTTCACTAATTTCGTGCCACTTAAGGCTTGACAGTTTTGAATTTCATAGTTCATAACTTCTTCCGAAGAGTTGTTCCGCAAGAAGGAAAAGCAGATTTGGAACCAGCGTTCAAAGACGCGTTCAGTGATAGACATTTCGTCTTCAATCTCCAACTTATGTTGCTATCCTTTACTCATTAGTTCCTTAGCCTTACAGTAGGTGCACCAGTATATTTTCGTCACTCCAACCTCTCTGCTGCATTTCAACTTGCAATATCTTTTCTCCACCTTGGTCTCCAGGCGAGCCACGCGATCGGAATGCTTATTCATTTCTTCATGTTGTCCTTTTTGCTAGTGCTGTCTCCTACCACTTGTAGGAGGTTGTCTTTCTCTCTGATATACGAGCCTACAAAGTTCTCCCAAATCTTCTTATGTTCAGTGAAATTGAATGCGAATGCAAGTAGTTTGAGATGTGCTCTTCGTGCGCCATGGCACTGGCTACCGAATACGCTATTTGAAAAAATAACGATACACTAGGAATAAACACCAAAAGAAAGTAATCCGTTGCGCTCAGGTCTGCGAAAAGGCACGCAGATCAAAATGCGCAAAACTTGCGAGAGCTCGGTTTGAAAATGAGTTTTATAAACTTCGTAATAGCAAGATGAAGCGACGTCCGATTATTACTACTTGTTCCCTACCTGGACCTTTTTTCAAGCAAAAAGTATCGCGTTGACTTCAGCGTTCAAAAAATCGGACTCTCGTTTCGGAACTTGGAGAAGAACAGCTATGATATACCTAATTAAGTCTGAAAGGAAACGATACTTGGTGTCCGTGGCCTTTTGAGATGAGATGCACACCATTACACTCGCCTTTGAGCACTGATTCCGAATCTGACTTCCGTTTTTGCTAATCGTTTCTCGGAAAAAAGTTATGAAGGATTTTTGCGCCAAAGGAGATGTGGTCGAAATGCCAAAACTACCGCTAAGATGCGGTGTAGTGGCTAATGCGATAGCTCGCAAGTTAGTGCAGGTTTGGGTTCGAATTTTTGTGTTTTTAAGTTTTGCATTGCCTCAATCAAGCTTCTTTTCAAAAATTAGGCATCCTCGACCGTATTTCTTTTAGGCGACCATTGACGCAAAAATCCCTCATAACTTCCTCTAGAGAAACGATTAGCAGAAACGGAAGTGAGATTTTTTTAACGGAATCACGTCCCAAGACGATTGTGATGGTATATATACGTTTCATCTCAAAAGGCCACGGACACCAAGTATCGTTTCCTTGTAGGATGTCAGTACACAGGATACCCTTGATTGAAATTCACCTACGAGAAAGATCTACATAAACAACTGGATCAAGCTCTATTGTTAGAACTTTCATTACAATATGAAATTTTCAAAGAAACCCTCGCACGAGCGGAAATTGGGCTGTTCTGCATTCCCATCGCTGGTCGCGCACTGCAACTTCCTCTCACACAGTTTGCGATCCCCATGCAAGGGCCTGAAAATATATTACGAGACGAATCTTGATATTCCCTTTGAATCAGTGGGGTAGGAAAAAGTTGGGTTTTTCATAGGTATTAGCTATTTCTCACCACATTGCGGAGTTTGTGGTAAAATTATTTAAAAGCAGGATTTTTGGTTTTTTTGCGTCAGATACCTAAAAGTGGCCAGATTCAACAGTGTAGTTGAAAATTATTAAGCATCAGGCACTTGCGAATTGTCTTTCGTACTTTAGGGACTTGAAAGGATAGTTTATGGTCATTATGTGCTGTGTCAAGAATTCACCTATTCTCCGTTCTATAGCCTTTTTAACTAAATACATGGATGAAGATATTAAGTCGTTTTTGCGCGTCCTTCGTGCAACGAGATTTGAATATCAGAGATTTTGACAAGCCATCAGATACTATATTAGGTGGGTCCGAAAGTTCGTGCAGTTTCTCAGACCTACTCCAAAGGAGTAGGTCTGAGAAACTGAAGGTGCTCAAAATCGTTCCAAAGGAAAATAAGCAAAAAACAAACAATAAACAGTATCCCTTGCAGAATTTCTTCCTCTTTTCAGCAGCTATGATTGTGACTCTTCGAGAGCTTGGAGATAATCGCCGGGAACTAAAACCTTCTTCTTACCATCTCTAACTTTCGCTAATTTTCAGAATTTTCATTTTGGACTTCTGAAGGTGCTCTAATAACTACTAACGCAATTTTTGCGTCTCTCTAGCATGCCTTCTGAAACTACTAAAATGTATTTTCTGAAGTGACCAAATATTATATTTGGTTCATTCCAGCCTCGCAAAACACCAGACATTGAACAGTTTAGGTATCGTCGATTCGTTGACCGCCGGACTGCTCAAACCCTGCGAACCACGCGCGGGGGGGGGGGGCTAAATTGTCGCGAGAGCACGACTTGTACAAGGGCGAATTTGTAGTGGGGCAAGCGTTTTAGTACCTCGTGGCGCGTGCTCCGCAGTGATGTCCAGTCCGTGCGGTCAACGAATCAACTATACCATTCAAAGCATCTTTTTCTCCTCTTTCTGACAGCTACCTTTTCTTCGCGAAATATACGGCTTTTGCAAACAAAATCGCTGTACTTAGCAATTTTACGGGTGCGCAATAAACATAGGACCGAATCGAATGATTATTCGAGCATTCGAATAAAGCATTTAAATACAAATGATTCGAAAATTTGAATATTCGAAAATCTGGGAAATAATCTTCGATAAAATATTCGAGATTTTTCATTTTCGAATATTATTCGAAATTCGAATATTCGAAAATTCCGATTTTCGAATATTATTCGATAATCAAATATTCGAAATTTTCGGTTTTCGAATATTATTCGATAGTCGAGTATTCGAAATTCTCAATTTTCGAATATATTCGATATTTCCCCCAGTGCGTAAGGTTGTAGTTGAAATTCCAAAATTTATACATTTTCACGCTACAATCGCTTATTTACTTCGTAATACTAGTGATAGTAATAACCGAGTTTTAGAACTTCAATATTTTGGGGATTTCGCAGTGTTTGGTGCAATTATGTGTCGCGCGACTTCCTCGAAATTCAATACTCTAGTAAAAGAATTCAGCAAAATTTTAGAGAGGAAGCTGAAAAATTCAAAAAATTGCATTGATTTGAGAAAGGTTTGCTCTATCAGGTAGTTATTAGAGCACCTTCAAAAGTCTAAGGCCTCGGACAGAGTTCGCGCGATTTAATCGTCGCGATTCAATCGCTACAGGACAAGTGTTACGAGTTCATTGCATGCCGATCTTCTTGTATTTCGGTTATGATAGTTAGTCACGATTACTCGTGTTGGAAAACTATCACAATCAAAATGCAAGAAGATCGACATGCAATGAACTCGTAATATTTGTCTGTAGCGATTGAAACGTGATATCAAATCGCGCGAACTTGCCCGAGGCTTAAAATGAAAATTCTGAAAATTAGCAAAAGTAAGACATGGTAAAAATAAAGGGTTCTAGTTTTCAGCAATTATCTCAGCGCTCGTCGAAGCAGTCACAATGGAGACATGCCTGCTGGAAAGAGGAAGAAATTCTGCATGGGATACTGTTTTAACGATTTGTCTATCTTCAATTGAACGACTTAGCATAAGTCTAAAACGTCACGAACTTTCGGAGCCACCTAATAGAAAATTAGTAAATAACAGTGGCGGTCCAAGACTTTCTTCGGGGTGTGAGGAGGGGATAGAAATTTTTCGCATGTGTTCTATAACCCCAAAATTCCACAGCTATTTATAGCTTGCTTTCAACGTTCCACCTCTCCCAAAAGAAACGGTTGAGGACCCTGCCACTTTGACCAAAGTCATACGATCACCATCGCGGTGGCGCGAAGTTCTGGCGGGGATTGCGGCAATGGAAAAGGGAGTAGACGCGATTGACATAGGCTGTCAGGACGGATTTTCTCGAGCAATCCTTTGCTTTCTCAGATGTTGTCAAAGACACACTGTCAGCGAATTCAGCACAAGAAGTTCATTTCATTAATTACTAATCATGCTAAGAACAACGCTTTCAGAAGTTGCACAAAATGAATAAAGAAATACACGTGGGAATAGAAGAACAATGTAACAAACTGCGATCTCAACAAAATAGTGAACATTGACGTGGCCACCGGTTCGAGGGCCCGAACAATCGAAAGAATCGAATATCGATTAGAGCAAATTCTACACACGTGTGGCCTAGAGATCGTCGTCATCATCGGGCAAATCGGCATCTGCAGCGTTTTTCAAGTCTTCCTCGTACTGAGCAACCATAGTTGGATCCATTTGTACCTGAACTTATGAATTTTAGTTTGAAAAAAAAACTCATTTGCCGCAATCATATCTAGCATTAAACAATCAAGCTTACCTCTGGTGGTGCAAGAGCTGGCATGGCAACAAACTCGAGATTAGGATCACCCAGAAGTTTACGAGCCAACCACAGGAATGGTTTTTCGAAGTTGTAGTTAGATTTAGCCGAAATATCATAGTACTGCAGATTCTTCTTGCGATGGAACGTGATTGTCTTTGCCTTCACTTTTCGATCTTTCACATCAACCTGAAACATCAAGTATAATGACAAAGATAACTGTTCCAAAATGTTTTCAAAAAGATCCTTAATAAATCCTTTGAATCATTCTTTACCGCTGCACAGTCAAAAAAGCATTGCGATGACCACAGCTCGGCGTCAGAGTACAACTATCGTTTTCTTGTTTCTTTTCTTTTTTCGAAAGTAAGTGATGCAATGGCCATGGGAGCACGGACAACACCTTACGTGATCAACATTAGTTAAAAACACTGTCTAGGCAGATTTGGACAGATGGAAAATCGTACGTGGAAACTGGTTTTTGGAAAGCAGTAGCGCTGATGGTTGCAGACAAATCCGGAGAAATAGTGATCGCACTTAAGAACCGATTTTGGACGCCTAACCAAGACACTGTCGCAGTGGTAGCGCTGATGGAGCGAGCTGATTTTTCCCAAATCATCCCGTTCGTACTTGGTGACGACTTGCATCAGCTTCATGTACTGCAGACGGACCCACCACCCTCGTGATGGGTTCTCGCGCAAAATCCTGCAAGAATCCAAATCCGACCTGAGGTGCCTGGACTGCCTACGAATTTGCTTAACACTGCCAAGGAATTTCTTTGCCCATTTTCTGTTTTTATTCCTTCCAGTTCTCCATGCAGGATCTTAGAAAATAGTTATCTAGCTGGCAGGTCTACCAGTAACGGTACCATATTTTCTGGCAGAAGTAGTTAAGGACCCTGTGGAATAGATGTGATTAAAATGTTGGCTTGGAGTGCACTGACGTCGTGCACGCTATAAGTAACATAAATCTGGAGATACATCACTTTCGAAATTTCTGTTCATTTTGAGAGAAGGAAGGCGCTGTTTATTCACTTTTGAAACACGTATTATGCAACCAATGTAAGTTTTCCGACAAAGGCACACTCGGACCTCACTAAGAAAAGACCTCTATGAAGCTAATGGGATTTCAAAGTGAACTAGTAACGAAGAAGGCGCATGCCCGCATAGAAAGAGCAGACGCGAGCGCATTGCGACGTCGACCATCGACTTATGCAACCCATGTCGTTAGCGATACCCACACATCCGGGACCAAAGCATAGATTCCGCTTTCATGAACCTTATGTAACTAACTATTCAATAGATTGCTAAACGTCTGTCCCAATTTCTTCACATTCAATGTCGAAACAATCGTCTCAGGCCATACTAACTAACCACACAAAGATTTACCTTATTTCCGCATAAGACTATAGGTATATTTTCACAGACTCGAACCAAATCTCGATGCCAGTTAGGTACATTCTTATAGGTGACACGGGCGGTGACATCAAACATAATGATGGCACACTGTCCTGAAACAACATTCTTGATTATTGCTGTGCCGTCTAGCAATACCAAATGTAATTTAAGCAATTCCCACCTTGAATATAGTACCCATCACGCAATCCACCGAACTTCTCTTGTCCAGCAGTATCCCACACATTGAAACGGATTTGCCCTCGGTTAGTATGGAAAATTAGAGGGTGAACTTCGACTCCAAGTGTAGCTAAAAGATAGTTCGTAAGAAAGGCGTTCATCTGCAGCAAGTCCAAGCTATTTCGTGAGCTTTCTTAAAATGCTAAGTCGCCACAGTCAGCCAAGCCTTATTCAATCAGATCGTTAGCCTGTTCATAACTGTGACTAAACCTGATGAAGGCTAGTCACAATTATGAACACTGCGTCGCTATCATTGAGTTCAACTGTGTTGAGCTCTCTAAAGAGGCACTCAAAGCTATGCAAGCACTGCAAAATTCGCGTTTTCAGATGATATGAAATGAAAGAAATGGAATGATATTCTTCTCGCATTTTTTTCGGGGAGACCCTGGTATTTCGATTTCACGTTTTTAACAGAATGAAGGCAATATCCGCACTTTGAAGAGAATGCGGGACAGGTGTGTATCAAAGCACTGCATTGTGAGTATCCAAACTTCACGAGCAAAGTGATAACCCAAAGAACACCAAACAGAAACAGAACCCTTAAGAATAACCACCTCCTAAGGCAGGTTGTCCCCCACAAGAACAGCACCGCACCTGCGACTCGACACTTGCAGGTGGAATCAGTACTGTAACCCTTACAAGGATGCGAACATAGAGCAAGACTCGTGCACCGTTCACACTAAGGGCCTTTCTGCGCGTTCTGAACGATCCCTAACCAAAACACAAAACCAAAGGCAAAGCATTTCGTGTTTAGACCCGCACCACATTTCCACAACTTGAACTTTCTCACAAAAATGCGAAGTCTGAACTTCAACGCCCATAGCGGGAAGCTAAAAATTCTCTAGTAATGGCCGCACACGAGATAGTGCTAAGCGCCACATAAGGAGCAAAGAGCGATTCGAATGCGAGGATCACTCGTCAGATACTATGAGATAATGACGCTCAGCCGAATGAAAGATTTTCTCTCGCAAACGATGTGTTCTCAGCGTTTTTTTTTTTTTGAAGCGATCACATTCAGTTGTGCAGTTGATCTGCAGTAACTCAAATAAGCTTTTGCGCGTGTTAATAATCGGCTTTACTCTGCTTCCTATATAGTCAAAAATCACAACTCATTAATGAAAATTCTATCGCAAAACAAACAAGAATATATAAAAAGTTTGCACAGTGCTGGGTCTCGCTAGGTGTAATGCTCCCGACGAATACAGCTGCTCGCGCCAAAACCGAATACGTGTAGCACAACTGAACTACTGCAAATGTCTGGCAACAGCAGTTCAAAAGAGCAAGTGATAACTGACCAAAAGACTGAAAATTCTTAGCAATAAAGTGTACTTGGATGATGACTAATGCAAAAGCAACTTTCAAAAACGGATAACGAGGACAGGAAAAAAAGAATTCGCCGAATTCCGAAAAAAAAAACCTCATTTCATGACCAAAAAACCACTCACCAACATATTTCTTCTCGAATTCTCCAGTTAGATGGCGTTTTACAAACGTAGTCTTTCCTGTTCCACCATCGCCTACTAAGACAAGTTTGAAGGTTGGAATCCCGTCGCCAGCACTAGCCATCTGCAAACGATTCGAATGACAAGTGATACACGATGCAAATCGATATAATCGCAACGAACAGCATGAGGGCGACGCGAGTGGAAGACGTAGACGAATTCATACACTTGTGAATCGACCAGAAAAAAATGACAAAGTTCCAGACCTATCTAGAATTCACGACCTATGACTCATACTCTAGCAAAGCTACAGCATCCACTGCCAGACGAACTTCCACAGGACGCCAAAGGATTCACACAAGAGAGTAACATAAACAACACCTGCCAATACTGAACTGAGCGCCAGCAGAGCCACAACCGCACGGAAAACAAGAAGAAACGGAATTGAGCGCCAAGGCGATTATTTCGAACCGCTGGCTGCGTGGCTGCCCATTTCACGTGACGCCGCTATTTCACAAGAGTTTCACGCAGTTTCGTAATTTTTGGCACGGGTACAGCTGATTGGGGTGGGTTTGTGCCGAATTTGGCGTGTTTTGATGGTCCAATTTGTATCTCAGTGATTACTTTTTGGAGTTTAAACAGTCTATGTTTTGAGTTCAGTTCGGGACCGGCCATACTATTCAGGAGGTGATTCCCGCGATTCCTGTAACTCCTGCAATTCCCGCGATTCCCTGCCTTCCGACGTGCCGCACTACGAAGCGCTTTGCTAATTTCAGTACAGTTGTTCAATATACTTGTTACAAGGCCCGCAGAAATCACAGGAATCGCATGAATTGCAGGAATCACAGGAACCACAGGATAGTATGGCCGCTCCCTTCAAGTGCTTACTTTCGTTTTCATTCGCATCAAGGTGAGCAGTCTAGGAATGAGACTGAAGTGGATTGGGAGCGACGTGGGCGTTTGCATTGTGAATACAACGCCCTGTGAGAGATGGATGTAGTCGTACTTGTTTGGGTGGGAACGTTCTGCTGTACAAAAGCATCAATCGCAATCGACTGACATTTTTTTCCAAGCATTTAGTGCGGGGATTAACAGGGCAAAGCAAAACCATGAACTTTTCTGTTATCTCTAATTCAAAAAAGTAAAAATCTCTAAAGTGATATCAGCAGCAAGTTCCACTTGATTCTGCTGTTGTGGGTTTTTGTTTAGGGTGGTTTCTGTCATCTCTTCGATTTTGGAATTACTCTATTCGATTAAGTTAGAGACTACTGAAGACTCAAAATTCCTTAACATTCACCGCGAGTTACTATAGATTCACCCAAGGCTGTACGCGGTGATGCATTGCAGACATCTGACATTGATAGTCGTCATACTCAACTATGGCCGATTTCTGGAATCTCTCTGTCGAAGCCGTCATGCCTCGAAGCTGCCACGTCTCCGATCTAGCACGGGTTTGGGCCATGTCATCCTTATTGGTCCAGTCGCTGTTCATTATTGCATCACTTTCGAATTCGACTTCGTACAAATCGTGGCAGTAAGTCCATTTTTCGAAAAGCAGCTCAAAAGAACGAAAAGCCACGAATTTCAAAAAAGAGAAAAGAAAACGCCTTTGTCGCTCCAGATGTAATGAAAGGTCATTGCCCTAATTCTACGAGTACCAGACGCACCTATTTTCTGAACTCTACCAGCTTGAACACATATTCCGCCAATGGACCCTATTTCGTGGTTGCGTTGCCTGGAGATATCTCGCGGCATAAGTTTCGTCTTGCGAAACACAACGACGCGGCTGAGCGACTCGCTTAAAAAAACTAAAAAGTTGCGTCTTGTGCTAGTGAAGTTAGCTGGGTAAAGATACTGTTCAAATGGGTACCATGATTGTATAGGGCATTCGCACGCACTTCCGGCAACCGCATTTTCTTGGTTTTCGTCTCTACTCGAATGGTTTTTCTACTTACCGGTGATAGTATCTCGACACTGGAAGTGACTGACTAGTCGAGATGATGCCTTTTTGCATGAGTGTTTTATGCCCTTTGGGCGCAAAGACCGTGGTCGAATCCGTCGTCACGATTTTATAAATGACCTGTACGTTGGCTTGCTTATCGCCTGCAGAGTTTACGTGAACGCTAGAAGTCCTTTAGTTACTTGAAGGCAGCGTCCAGGCAGATCTGGATCTATGGGGATTTTACGTGGAAAGTACTTTTGGGGCCCTAACTAGGTACTAAGGCACTGCCCGAGCGACAGCGCAGGTAAATAGTGCTCTAACGGCTGAGATATTCCCCTCGAAACTGGATCCCACGATCGTATTCGTGTGGATTCATGGCAGTTTCGCGCCAGGATCCACGCTTTGCGCATGAATCCATACGAAATACGATCGCGGGGTCCAGTTTCAAGGAGAATATCTCAGGTTAGAGAACTACCTGAGCTGCCGGTTGGACAGTGGCTTGGCTAGGGCCCCAAAATAACTATCCATGTGAGATCCCCATGTGTCCAGACTTGCCTGAACGCTGCCTTTGAGTATATCGCAGAGTGCAATTAAATATTGCTATTAAATATCGCTTTGGACATATAAAATTTTTTTACACACCCTTATCTGTTCCCAGTAGAAAACGGGTAGGAAAAACTGGCAAAAAAGTGTGCACTGGCATGTTACCGCATCTCACGTGGTTTGAAATGTTGACCGGTGTTAAGAGACTGTTTTTTGGAAAAAATTAGTTGTGTCATCACGATACTCATATCGGCGATATACTGTTCTAATTGTTCTGTCAGATGGTGGTTTAACTACGGGTTTATTTCCTCGTTTTGTAAGCATCTATTGCTAGAATTGTGCCCACTCGGCTCTGATCTGCATCTATCGGACGGTGCGCTGTTCGAGAAATCTTGCAACAGGTTTTTGTCGGTCTGGACGGAAGATTTGCATTTGTCGACAGAGAGCGGTGAGGTGCGTACAGAGTAATGATTATCAATGTGTATTTTTACCTGTTTAACTATCTCATTTGTTTATTTGACGTTTGTGCTTGTTGTTACTCAGAAATATCCTTACTACTGTATTCTAAAAACACGTTATTTTTTGTTCATTTACCTCTTCTGCGCTTACCATCAGCCGAACACTTGAGAACAGAATGATATTCTGCATAATGTTCCCATACAAGTGGTGCACTCTCTTCCTCAATTGTCCACCCTGTTTCTTGTATTGTGGGATCATTACATGATGACTAGAGTGTTCGCCAATCTACCTAGTATGTAGGATATTGGACCATCTGATTAGTTGCGTCTCAACAGCTCATTTCCATGCTTGTTCCTATCTAGTCTTTGATTGTTTCTATTTATTCACCGGTCCGATTGCTCTCTGCTATCGTTTCGCGATATACTTCTTGTTCTACGCTTTAGTTGCAGTTCTACTTCTAGCCGCATAATTTGAACGCTTTACTTACAGGGCTATCGCCGAGAATGGGTAAAAAGGACAAGCATTCCAAGGGTGATTTGGGCGTAAGTCTTGAGAAGTTATCATCATTTTGGTTTGATGAGGTTAAAACTGTAAGTGGGCTCTACTACATTGTTATTTAGGAGGCCCAAGAGAGTGGGACATTCCATCTAAAGCCGTCTACCGCAGAACCGAGCCTCAAATCTGACCAATGGCCTCTTCTTCTCAAGGTGAACAAACTTTGTCTAAAAATAAGTACTGCATCTTTGTATCATCTCTGTTTTTATTTAGTCGCCTTTTAGAACTTCGACAATATGAATGTGCGTACAAATCACTATACACCATTGCCCGAGGGTTGCTCTCCTCTGAAAAGGGAAATTAGGAATTATATCTCTTCCGGATTTTTCAATTTGGATAAGCCAGCGAATCCATCCTCTCATGAAGTAGTCGCATGGATAAAGCGAATATTGCGAGTCGATAAAACTGGTCACAGTGGAACCCTCGATCCCAAGGTTCGTTTTTCTTACTTCGTTTTCATCAAATAAAAAGTTTGTGTTTAGGTGTCAGGTTGTCTGATTGTATGCATCGACCGCACCACTCGTCTAGCCAAGTCGCAGCAAGGTGCAGGAAAAGAGTATGTGGCAATCTTCAAGCTGCATAATCCGGTAGAGAGTGAGAAGAAGATCAAGCAAGCCCTCGAGAAGGTCATTTTTTTGCATGTATTTTACCATTGCTTTCAAAATGTATAGTTTCCAGCTAACTGGCGCTCTTTTCCAACGTCCTCCTTTGATTTCTGCTGTCAAGCGTCAGTTGCGTGTTAGAACCATCTATGAGAACAAGCTGCTTGAGTTTGACAAAGAGCAGCAAATGGGAATTTTCTGGTTGGTTTTTTCTTCTGCATCGAGCATTTTTTATGTCTTTCCATTCCTTTTTCCATGCTTTGCCCTTTGCAGTTGCACGTTGCTTTTTTTCAATTGATACATTGGTAGTGGGGGGGGGGGGGGTGGGGAGAAATAGGAACAGATTCTTTGTTCAAATTTGAAATCAGTTGAACTACCAGCCCTCACATGTACGCGAAATTCTGTAAAGTGATTCAAATTTTTTTTGAAATTGGGCATAGCTGTGGAAGCATACCACATTTTTTTTAATGAAAAAATAACAAAATGAAATAGAAAGACTCCATGCACCAAAACAACTTATTATTAGAATGTTTGGGGTTTGTGTTTTAGAAATTCATCGATGTCCTTAGTGCAGCAGATAAGTCAAGTTATTTATCATATTACAGGGTGAAGTGTGAGTCTGGAACATATGTTAGGACAATCTGTGTTCACCTAGGACTTCTTCTTGGAGTTGGAGGGCAGATGCAGGAATTGAGAAGAAATAGGCATGTTTTTAAAAGCCACCATTTTTATCCTGGTGAAAATTTTTTTCAGGTCTGGCATTACCGACGAGCATGACCAACTCGTCACCATGCACGATATTCTCGATGCGCAATATGTGCTTGATCACCACAAGGTATGAGGAGTTACAAAGAGTGTTTTTGGACTTGAAATGAACTGTTACTGAGTGTTCGTTCCTTAGTCTACATTACCGTTAGGTGCAGCGAAGGTGTAAATTTGTAATGTTTTTGTTCCTAGGACGAGACTTATATGAGGCGCATTGTCCGTCCACTGGAAGCACTCCTTGTTGAACATAAGCGAATAATCGTCAAGGATTCCTCGGTGAGTTTTCCCCTATCCTTATTCTTTTTTATGTCGTTAATGGCACAGGTCAACGCTATTTGCTATGGGGCTAAAATTCTACTACCCGGTGTTCTACGATATGACGATGGTATCGAAGTTGGCCAAGAAATCGTAGTGGTTACCACCAAAGGAGAAGCCATTTGCCTCGGTGAGTACTACATAATTTCCTAGTTCATGTGTATGTATGCTTTTCTAGCTATCGCACAAATGACAACATCAACGATGGCTTCCACCGACCATGGAGTTGTTGCCAAGTCGAAACGAGTAATCATGGAACGCGATGTTTATGGACGAAAATGGGGCTTGGGGCCCGTGGCCAGTAAGAAGAAGCAAATGATTAAGGCGAGTTGAGTCTGCATATAATGACATTGTGAAGTATAAGGTTGCACATGGCCTACATTTTATTGGCTCACCTGCTTTTTGAACATTTTGAATCATGCTGTTATTGAAAGGGCATTATGACTAATTCGCTTTCGATTCAGGATGGGTTATTAGACAAGTTTGGTCAACCAAATGAAAAGACACCTGCTAATTGGAAAGTAGTCGATTATTCGGCCGAAACGCCTAAGGTAAGTCAGCAAATATGTCACTAAGATGTGTTTGTATTCCTTGTTAGTTTCGAATCGTGGTTCTTTTTATTAAGATCAAAAAAGAAGTTGAGGTCAAGAAAGAAGCTGAGGAAACAGCATCCCCACCAAAAGCGAAGAAGCAAAAAAAGCAAAAAGAACCCAGTAGTAGCTCTTCAGACTCGGATAGTAGTGAGTAGAACGTCGCTAGTGTTTTTGTTATGTTGTGGTTATGTTGCCAATTGTTATATATGAGATCATCGACTTGATAATCCTTCATACCTACTCGAGCTATGTAAATGCTGTTATCTCTCGAAAATATCACCTGTTACGTTGTTATACATTGATTGTTGGTTTATGATAGACGTTGTTGAAGAAATGATTGTGATTGAGATATAAATGAGAAACGTGTAATTATGATGTTGTTATTCACTTGCTCTAAGTGACCGACTAGCTAACGACAAGCACCTCTTTAGTGAATGAGGACGTTGAACTAATGATTTCGAAAGAGTAGTATCATTACATCAGAGTTTGTTGAACATAGGGCTGGTAGAGCCGTTCTGATTCGATCTGCATCTACGAGAAACTGTGGCTGCGGCATGAGTTACCGCGTGTAATAATGCTTACACGGGCAGAGTACGTTTTGGCAAGTGGGTTCTACCCCGCGTGGACAGCTTTTACGAGGCTTCAGTGTGTAATAGGTCCATACTTTGTTGTGAATGTCCGGTACCTCCCTTTTGGCGATACAACGTCCTTTACCGTAATTGCATCATTGCTTTGGATTATTGTCACGTACAGTATTCTGCAGCGCTCGTGGAACCTGTGGCACGCAGCCTTTCTGTTTGAGGTCCTAGAGCGCAAACAACAATCAAAACTGTTTGTGCGAGTCTAGGAAAGTGCACGAGTCTAGTAGCGTGCAGCCTTTGTTATTTCGTCAGTCTTCAAATCTCTTTACACTCCATGCTTTATTAATGTAATGTCAGTATGTATACTTTGCTCTGATCGCCTTGTTCATATACTGTTATGTATCTGGCTTCAGCGCAAATGTGTGTGCGACGTATATGAGATTTATTTACAAGTGCAGAGAGGGACGTGAAACTTCGCTTCTTTTCCTATGAGTGCCGCCTTAGAATAATTTTGAGTGAATTCTCTAGTTACATCTCACATAATCAATAAACAGAAAATAGGGGCAAACTGTGGCTGAAAATGTAAGGACTGAGGGACTGTTACATACGTCCTACTAGTGCAACTTCTGGCGGCAATACCTCTTCTAAAGTTAGGCAGGCAGCCCCACCAAAGCACACCAACGAAGCCCGTTGAAAAAGCATCACGAATAGCCTACGACGTCTGTTGCAGTATTTTGATGACTACGCCAAATCATATACGCGGAAGACTTTATGCTGTGCATAGCTGATATCTATGACAACTTCATTCACCAATCAGGAAATCCAAATATCGGTCACCTTAGTGATACTGAAAAGCATAATCACTTGTTGATACTCATCACCATTTTGTCTTACGACTCTACATTTATAACGCTACGGCGTATTGTTCTTGTTCGTTGTTTTTCGTTATCAAGATTCAAATAAAGCTTTTACTTGCATGAGATGGTTGGTGTCTAGTGACGGTGCGTGCACTGAAAACGCACGCTTTTCTTTGGAAATACCGAATACTATGACAGGTTAACAAGAAGACGTGCAAAGATACTCGCGGATGGAGGGGTCTCTATCATAACTCTAGGCCATCGTTCGCTATGCGTTGGTACCATGATCCGGTAAGTTGCGATTGGCGAGTTGGAATGTCAAACATTCGCAAGGGCACCCGATGAAGTCCGAGCACAACGACGGAGCCGATTCAAGGACGATACATAGGCAGTTGCGCTATTATAGCCACTTGATCCATTCCAGATGCCTTCTAATTTTGAAAGATGGGATCGTAAATGGATGTTCTGCCTCGTGAGTACTATCAATGGTTCATATTCAAAAAATACCTACCATTTCCTGGAAGAAGAGATTTTCCGCTTGCGGTCTGAAGCATCTTCGCCTCTGTAGAGTTCGGTCTTGCTTACTAGGATAGGATAATGTAAAAAAGTTAGGGACATACTTCCTTTATTCTACGATCACACGGTGCATCAGCAGAATTGGATGGTGCACAGGTATTACTGTTTGCAGTCATATTTGGAATCTGCTTTTTTTTGCTAAGAACATCTATCTGGAGAGTTTTCGTCATGGATGGCCAAATTGCAAGCTATTATCTAGGGATTGATCGGATAATATGAGCGGAACAAATGAGAAGAAAAATGATGAAGAATATGGCGTTGTTTCGCTGCTTCGTGGCCTTGCCCAACTTGAGTTTTGTTACTGGAATGGTAATCATACACAATACTTGAAGAGCTCTATAAGATGTAATTTTATGGAAATAAACCGTGAAGATATTACAGAACTTGTGCTGAAGTCTAACATAATTCCCCATTTGGATTTTAAGCTCATCTTTGCCTTGCTAAATTTTCAGCTACTGAATTGTATATGTGGTTACAAAGAACGGAATTTATTAGTGAGAAATATCTGTGACTTTTGTTCGCTGATAGATAGAGTGATAAATCCCATCTAGTGCAAGAGCGTAAGGCACGCCACATTTTCGAAAACGAGGACAGCCCTGTGTGGACATGTCTGTGCGCGCTCAACGTAGGTAGTGCCTCCTGCATTACCCGCGGAAAGTACGGCGCGCTAAAGAGGGTGCTGCTGGTATGTGGAAGTGTCGGTATCGCTTCTCGGCCTTTTGGCTAAGATCAAAGTTTAGTTTCTGTTCTTATCGAATTAACCTTCGATAGAGTCTCGAATGAGTCTCGTTAAGGTTATTTGATTTTTGGAACCGGATGAGGTTGCGGGCTTGCTCGCACCTCATCACGGGTCGGCCCAGCGTTGCACTGCTGCAGGGATCGGCCCACACCCCTCCGGGGTGAACAAGATCGAGCAACAAAAAAACTCCAAACATTGCAAAATGATTAGGCGAAGTCATTGCAAGTAGTTGCGTGTAAATTCCTTGTTATGTGTGGTATTTACGAGATAGAATTTTTTGTTGAAGCATGAAGATTTGAATGAAGGTGCGTAGCGTTACCCGCGCCGAAAAATTTTTCGGATGCTTCCCAAATTTTTGGCAGGCCCATAACCCGTAGCCATGATGGTCGCGAAATTTTTGAAAGCAAGGGAGCGTGGGGGCAGTCACGCTTGTATGTACCTTTAAAAAATCTTGGAAATCAATTATTGACAAGTATGAACAAATTATTTCCTTATTTTCATAACTTACATAAGTTTTGAAAATTTCGCGATCCTTTTTGGGGTGGGGAGGGGGCGGGGTCCTTCCTTCCTGTGGGAGAATCTCGTGGAGGGTAAATGTGATTTGCTGAACAGGAATATATCCGTTTTGTCAATGTAAAATTATCGTAGTCTGTTTAAGGACCCTACCTTGCTGAATGCGTATATCTTGTGAAGACGTACCCAGAATGAATAACACATTGATGCCAAATTTGTGTATAATTTATTAGCAAATTGTAACTCTGCCGCTCACTGTGTACTATATAAGCGGCGGTTTCAGATTTTCGGTTCCGAGAAATTTCATTTGAAGGAGAGGGGCGACAGATTTTCTCCAAATGAAGGGCGTGGCGTTCATACGCCTTCGAAAAATCTCTAAGGGTGTTCAAACTTTTCGCGATCTATCTCCCTGTAGTCAATGAAGTTTGAAAATTACTATAAGAGGGTTTCAAATCCTCGCTTCCGATTCCTTTTGCGTTCTCTGTATGGCTGAGTATTAGCAAAAATTTTAAATCTGCGAAATTGAGAGAAAATTGTCAAATGTTTGAAAGTTGCACTTTAAGTCAAAGGAAACGTTTAGGAAATCAACAACCTTATACAATGACGAAGCCTTTCTCCAACACGTTTTTTTCTTCGTTATGTACTTCTACTGCATTTGATGAACTGTGAATGGAAGTCTATATTTATAAAAAAGGACGAAATCGCCTCATCTTTGAATATATAAGAAAAAAATTAGAGAGTTTCTCATCAAGTTATTTTATGAACTTTACGAATCTCCTATCTTGCTCAAGCTGACAAGTTTTGAATGAGCGCTTGCGCAGGAAAAGATGACATGCCTCGGAGAGTTCGGAAAAAACATATTTAACAGCTAAGATTGTAAGCTACATCGTTTAATCGTCGGCACCAACAACAATCAAGTTCCTCAATCTACCTTTTGAAAAGACTTGTGCAGAACTAAAATGTGAATATCTGAGGCTTCCCTGCAAGTAACGCAACTAGTTCTCAGCAGAAAATGATGAAGACATGATTATGCGCAATCTTGCAGAATGAAGTGTGGTGTTCAAAGGCAGTGTCCGGGGCAAGAAGTCGATTTCGAGATTCCTTGCTTGCCTGGAACTATCCGCTATGCTAAATCCGAAAATTTATGACGGAAAGCGCGAAAACGACAAGGCTTCAACGCAAGAGGGAAATTGCAGGTGCGCAGGGTCTCCACTCTGTAAAACCATCCTTCAAACTTCCGGTTCGAAATTCTCGGTTTCGGCTCCAAACCGCTTGGCCGATGGCGATGTTAGAACAGCTAGCGGAAGCGAGTAGATCGTTTCTGAAACTGGGAGGGTGAGTTCACAAGGTGGAAGGCCCCTCCTACCTGCTGAATTCTGAAATTCCCTCTTGCGTTAAAGCCTTTTTCGCCTTTTTCACACTTCACATTTGATTTTTAAATTCGGCGTAGTGAATAGGCCCATTTAAGCACAGAGTCTCACAAGCAACTTCTTACCCGGACGCTACCCTCAAGGAAGGTGTTGCTTTATAAGAACGATTTCAGCGCTCTCTACCAATTAATTTGTAACATTTTATGGCATCTTGGAGAATATTTCAAAAAGTACCACGTTTTTGTGAAGGTATTAGGTGCCACAAAGTTTTTTAAGGAATGCTGGGATACAGAGCTCCTTTGGCGACCTTGCCAGCATTGTAACATAGCCTAAAAAACATTCTTCATTTTTGGCCAAAATTTTTGGTAGTAATTATCATTAATCTCCAAGTGAGAGAGTGCATGGTTTTCTTTCTAAAGAGTATTCAATCCGCCCAAGCAAGCTTCTTTTATAGGGGAAAGGTATTGGCCACCTAGAATCTGCTATTTGTATTTAAAATCTGCATAGCTTGAATGACTTTTTGTATCTTAACAATTTTTTAACAATCTTCACAGTGGGAAACGGATATGGCAACACCATAAATGCTTGATTCTGAACCTTTTTGGGTCAACAGGCATTCAAGAGGAAAACTCTTATGATTGAATCCCGCGAGCGGTCTCACTTTACCTACGCTAAATGCTGATTTGTCGATAAGCTCTTTGAGTATATATCTACAATAGTATTAATAATTCACCACAATGCACA